ATGATTACTTCCGTGCTTCTGCCAGTTCGGGTGTCATCACCTCTGCTGGGGCAGAACCGCCACTGCTCTTTTTGTTGGAGCCGTCTCTGTAACTGGAGATGGCGGTGGCAGGTGGCGGTGGTAGGTGGCCGTTGAAGTGCGGCTGTCAAGTGTCAGATCCCAAGTCAGTCAGGTGCGCTGCCCCTGGATACGGACTCCTTCGGTGTCAGGTACGGTGTGGTTTGTCTAGTTCGGCGTCCTGGAGGCGAAGTGATGGAGTGGTGTGCGAGGTGAAGTCTTGAGTTCGGATAGGGGAGTGTCCCGAACTGCCATGAGGTGGGCCAGTTCGGGTCACAGCTTTGTGGGGCTCGGGGCCTAAGGGAGAGTTCGGGCTCCTCGTAGAGAGTTCGAGCTCTTAGTAGGGAGGTCGGGTTCCTCGTAGGGAGTTCGGGCTCCTCGAAGGGAGTTTGGTCTCCTCGAAGGGAGTTCGGACTGTTGGTTCCTTCCTTTTGGTGCTTGTACCCTGGGTACGCTGTTTTAAGTGCCGAACTATTCGTTTTTTGCCACGTAGAGTGATTGCAAGGTCAGGCCAAATCTTCCTTCATCACAAAGTATTTAGCATATGCAACCAAAGAATTGCTTTCTCAGGTGGAAAAATCTTTGGCTGATGCATGAGAACAGGGGACTTAGTTTGGGAGCAGCCATCTCACATTGGAAATGTTGGAGATTATGTACATAATAAGTCCATCCCTCCCATGACTTAGGATAGCCAGGATCTACTGGGTGATGTCCGTATATAAGATAAGTAACTTAAAAAATATATATATAGCAGAATGAAGCATTATATCATTTTCAAATGGAAATTGAAATTTCATTTTCATATAAAAGAATTGAATTTCCAACAATAACGTAGAAGAGTGACAATATACTCAGATATGAAGCACGTTTCAGATCTTTTCCTTTCTTAATCCAAACCACCATTTAGATAAATGAGATTGATTTAAAAGGGAAAGGCAAAAAAACAGAGAGTTAAATGTAAACAAGACAAGGGGAAGGATAAAAGTCAGAGATTGAAGCGGTGGGTTTGTAAAAATGAAAAAACCGTGTTTATAATATATGAGAATGAGAGGGAGGTTAGAATTAGATTACTCAGCTACGATAAGTGGTTTTAATGGAGTGGCAGGGTGAGAACATGAGAGAGACAAAAGAGACGAGAGGGGAGAAGAGACGTGGGCAAGTGGAAGTCTTTTGCAAATTTTCTAAAAATTTAAATTTGGATCAGAAAATAAATAATTATTTGTCACAACCAGAAAGAAAGTCGACAAGAATTCCTATCGATAGAAGGCAGCCAAAATTTACCCCTACACAAATGGGGTAGCCCATCCCCCCAAACCCATATTCAGATTTCAACCATTTGAGGAATGCTCCCCTCCCCTCGATCTCATTCTAGCCAGCCTAATTCCATGGGGGTAATAGATCATTCCGATTCGCATTCCCAATTAGGCTAAGAAGAAGAAGAAGAAGAAGAAGAAGAAGAAGAAGAAGAAGAAGAAAAAGACAGATAAATAGATAAGTAGATATATAGATAGGGAAAGAAAAGAGAGCTGCCAGGAGTTTCGGAGTAGTCCTAGTGAAGAAGATCGCTTTGATCTAAGGACTCCAGATCTGTTCCTGGGCTCAAAACAGAGAGCTCCATGTAAGCGATGACGGCGAGGTACAGAAGCTGAACGACGACCCATGGTCACTTTTCTTCTCTGGCTGTGGCTGGCTATCTGGATGCGCCTCTGTTTGTAGCAATTCATTATAACTAATACATTTATGCACAACAGATAGTGATAAGTCTGGGGAGCAAAGCTGCGGTTGTTCAGATACATCAGTACTACTGTAGGACGACCTGTACAGTGGTGGCGCAACGACGTTAAGTGGAGGAGGTGCCACGCTTTGGAGATGGCGGGAGCGGATGACATGATCAGGAGACCCAGTGAGGTGCTGGACTACCTGCCGGAAGTTTCTGGAATTCACTCGGTAAACTCTAGGAGGTGGTGAGGGCCCCTGCTTCTTCCATGGCTTGGCAGGTGTCTTGCGGATGGAATGGAGGTACATTGTTGTTGGAGGTGGTGGATTTGGTTGTACATCAGTAGAGTTGGAAGATGAAGGAGAAGAAGCAAATTGAGGATCCATTATGTATTTGTGAGATTGAAAAGAAAGAATTAAACGGATCCAACTATATATTGGAAGTGGACATGGGAGAGAGAAATCGTCAAAAAAATACGTATACTGGATTACTGGAAGAGCAGGTGCCTATTGGTTTTGACATGAGCCGGCTGCGGTCAAGGACTGAATTTGACCGAGTTTTACATGGGCTGGCTGATGGGCGGAATCTCCTGCAAATAAAACGTTGTACAATAGCCTACTGCCTACGCAATCCAGATAAAAACAAACACGGCCACTTGTATCGATCGGGGTGCATTGGTGACGTGTTCCTGGATGAAGTAGGCAAGTAGCCCAGCCCTTTGCACACGTCCCGCTCAAAAATCAGCTATTCCACTTGGACCAGCGTAGCCCTACCTATCTACCTTAAATTAGATTACATGAAATCATCAAATGCATAAAAGGCCGTGATTTCACGCTTTTAGCCTACGCTTGACATCATTTGTCGGCTATGGCATCTGTTTAAATTTTCAAAAATTTCAAGGCTTTTCTTTTWATATTTCAAAAAATTACATATTTTATTTAATTTTCTTAATTACTGAATTTATATTGAAAATCCGGATTCAGTCTACACAAAATTTATCCCAGGCTGCAGCTAGTAGTAGGAGTGCAAGTCGGGGGGTTGGGCCGGGTTTATGATCAACCTAGGTCCGATCCTAAATTTTGAGTTTTAAGGCCTGAGTTTAGATCGGGTCTGAGATTAAGCCTGATTTTCTCAACTCGAACCTGACCCACATTGTAATATAATGCACTTGGATTGGGTTCAGGCCCAAGCCGGGCTTGGGTTAGTCAATAAATCTACTCTAAAATTATATATATATATATATATATATAAATGTGTATAGTTGAATCGGGTTCAAACTACCCAAGGATTAGGCCTGAGTCCGGCCCGAAAAATAAAAAAAAACCCGATTTCTTAGGTCCAATCCAACCAAAGGACCAAAAATCCAAGTCCAACCCATATAAAATTTCGAGCTGGATCGGTTCGAACTCAGATTGAGTCTGTCCAAGTTGCACCCCTAGCGAGTAGCCCTGCATTAGAAATATCTTCTCATGAAGGAAAAAGATACAAGTAAAATGCATGTAAGTGTTGCACGGACGGTGTGAGGATTGAATCTGGTCTCCCTCCTTGGAGAGAGTTTCACATGCCAATTTTAATTGACGTTCAAAAGTTAATTTACATGCTGACGATACATAGGTTTTTTATGCAATTTCCAAGTCTATCCTTATCTCACTATGATCAGTAGCGCTAATATTGAAGACCTAGAACCAAATCTATAATTTTTAGATCTGGCGATACATAAGATAATTTATTTAATATTATATATACGTATTACGTGTATATAGCTTGGATTGACTTTGAACCGGTTAGGGACAGGGCGGAATCGGTTCTAAACTGATAATAATTGAGACACTATATATATCAAGACCTGGAACTGCCCCGTTGGAGTGGAACCAGAACCGACCCAATTGATTCAGGCCTGTCGGGTTGGACCCAACCCATTGACAGCCCTAGTGATTACTCAATTATATGAAATACACTTGAAAAAAAATCTATTATACTGAAAAGACATGGTACCAAAAGAGTTTTTAGCTATCAAAACCCACTCCTAAATTTTGATAAATATCATCTCATTAGAGAAAATCTATGGTGCAGAAAAAAACATGCTATTAAAAGAGTTTTTGACCAATTAAAACCCACTCATGAATTTTGATAAATAACCCCTAATCGACTAGCAAAAGTTTTTAGATATCATATCTTTCTGATACCATTGATTGACCATGAGTTTTTCTTGCTATCATGTCTTTCTCGTATCATGGTTGAACCCAGTAAACTTTAACGGGAAACACAAATACAGTAACAGCTTTAATAACATTTGAGAAGGACCAGGACTATATACTTCTTAGGTTCACATATGCTGTGACCCTCTTACCATGGCTTCAAGTTTCAACAATTTGTCCCCATGTAAGGCAAGTTCGTGATGAAAATTAAAGATAAAGTTTACCTCTTATAAATTTTTATTGGTTTTCTGGTTTTATTTATCAAAATCTCTTCCTATAAAATAATGTTCTTTATATTTTGATAGATTCCTAGASTCCATTGTATAATCCAATAAAAATTTATAAAAAAAATCTATACATGATACCAAAAGGTGACTCTGGATCTCCTGCCTACAGCAACATAAAACCACCCATCTTAAGTTAAGCCATTATGCAGATAACTTTATCAGTAAACAAAATAAATAACATTCCCTTTACCCCTTCGTAGTTCAAACAATCTTTACACATCGAGATTAAGGAGGCTCAGAGCGTATTTTCAAAAATAGCTGTACACATATTGCAATAATAGTAAAAATGATTCAAAGAGCAGCGTGCATCATCAAACCACCTAGAAACTAAACAAATTCACTGGTTACACTCACTCCTAAATCTATTTGCAAATTAACCTGACTCAAGCATATAAAACCAGCTTTTCTATGCAATGCTGGCCACCACGAAATAGTGACAACAAAAGATACAAATGGCTGCTAACACAACACAACTGATTAAGAGACATCTACTTCGAATGCTTACTTCTGGATTACAATTGTCCAGAATAGCGATTTGCCCCGCTCATGTGCGTCAATCGCTCCCGAAACCATGTTTCTGGGCTTTGTGTTAAGTTCCCGTTTGACCCCATTGGGTCTGGAATTTAGGGATCCAACTTGGGTGGGCCTAACCTAAGCCTGGACCAATTTAGCCTATAATTTTACACGGTTTGGGTTTCAATATTTAGCCCTCAAGCTCGGCTTGGGCCCAAAACTAACATTTTCTTTGTTTAATTTTTTGGGCCTAGCCATTAGGTAGTCCGAGGCCAGCCTATACCCGATCCAACCTTATTCCAACACTAATGACTAATCCAACCAAAGCTTAGCCTGATTATACACTTACATACATAGATTTCATACATGTATAAACACATATAGGTCAATTTTCATTATAGGCTGATTTACCAACTGAAACCTGACCTGGACCCAAATGCATTAAATTTCCTTGCAGGTTGAGCCCAGAGGGGGCATATTAGGCTTGAGTTTGAGCTCAGACACTAGATTCAAGGGCGACTTGCACCACTACTGGGATTGGATATTTATATGTGGTCGAAGAGTTTTGGCTACTCTTTATTTTTCTCCACTGAAGGTAGGAAAACCAAGATATTCTGAGGCCCAACCCTGTCATTGATTATCTTGTCATCTTGATTTTACATGCAAGTGCAACAACTATTGGAGCACATAGATGACCACTCCAACGGTGTTATTTAAACTATTTCTTTGAATTAATTATGCAGTAGGATAAGCACTTTCTTCTCAACAATAACATATGGGAATAAAAGGAAAATAAGCAAGGCATTTTAATCAAACTTCTTATTCCCACTTTGTTATAAGGACGGAGAAATCAACTGGAAGCGTTTATTCACAATCTTTGTGGAAAAAGAAAATCAACTCCACCTAGCCATTGCCATCTCTCTTGAAACCTAGTTTTTATTTTGATCATTTTCTCCAATTTTTTCTATATTTCCTTATTATTACTAGTAAATGTGTACGTGGGAGATTGTTATGATAATGATTAAAGTATGAAAAAAATTAAAAAGATTTCAAGACTTATGTAATATCATATATTCATAATGCCTAGTTAAGTGTGATCATTTTCTCTGTTACTCAACAAAATGATAAATCATTTTTCCTGTTTCCCCTTACAGATAAGGATTGAAAGATAGCAATCAATACTAGAAAATTTTGTACATCGAATAAGAAACAGGTGGGCATCATATCACTCTAAGTCATATAAAACAAAGAAGGCAACTACACTCTTTGCTGAATTAAAGTAAGATCCGGACAAGGGAGGAGGAGATTTCAGCAGTATATGAAGATCCATTATTTTGCCCTCAGATATGTAGATGAAAAATGCAGATTCCAACTTCACAGATAGGTATGGTTTTTGTTGCCAAGAGTGTACATGGCAATATGGAATCTGTCTATACATATTCCAACATTTGGAGAAAGAAATGATATGTGCAGACAAATTAATTAAACAAATTCGGATTCAAAAAATGATATGTACAGAATATATTTCATTAAATTGCCCTTCTCATCAACAAAATTATGCCCATCAAAGAACTCAACGAACTGAATAACATCCTCCAGCCTCTTGAAATCAATGTATGCTTGAGAATATCGCTGATGCTTCTGACTGCAAAATCATTTCAATAACATCTGTTAAGTGCAATTTCCCTAATACATCTGTTAAGGGTTGGTGTTCACCATGTGGGATTAGATTTTGATTGATTTCAAAAATAAAAGTAAGCACATTGACAAACATCCTCAAAATCATAAAAAATGCATCCATGACCAAAGTAAAGCAGAAATCAAACAATAATGCCCTGAAATGAAGTTAAATTAAATCCAAGTATAACGTAGAAAGAGTTAAGTGTGTTGGTAAGTACATTAGATCCTTAACTGGAACCACTTGCCAGAATTCAACGTTTCAGGTTCATATATATATATGGATATCAAATAGTACTGGTAAATCTACAAAGCCATAAAAAAATCACAACTTTGTGTTCTCGGTTCATGCACACAACTGAATGTATGTTTTATACATAGAGGCATGATAACTAATATAATGCCATTCAATTAGGTTCATAGGCCTTTTCCTTTCTACCAGGGTCCCAGAAACTTCACAAATAACCACACCCAAGATCCTCCTTTCCACAAGTCTACAACTTCATCCTCAGTTATCTATAGACTTTGTCTATTGGTAGTCTCTGTTGAGTGTTGGAGGAAAGTCTCTACCAGGCATATCTCTCACTTGGTAATAATGGTTTCTACCCTGCATGCCTCCCATGTGCATGTTTGGTGCATAGCTATTCTAAAAATCTCTGTTTGGCATTAGCACCATTAGGCATTTCCCTGCTCTAGTAAGGCATACTTCCACTGTTAGGTTGTGAAAGCCTCTGGGCCGCAAGCTTCCCATGTTGTTGGGCACATTGGAGTATCTTGCATTCGGGGCCATACCTCCCATATTTGGCATGGTTTTCTACACCAGTGGCATTCCTCCCATATCAGGCTTAGGGTTCTGAGCTTCACGCAGTTAGGTGGCATACCTCCCATATTTGGCATGGGGGTTTTGAGCATCACAGTTAAGTGGCATTTTTCTAGCTTGGAAATCACGGTTTTGCATATTTTCTCTTCTCCTCTCAAATTTACGGGGTTTGCCATTGCACCTACATCTCTCATTTTCCCGTGCATTTTTTCTTACCCATTCCTTATGGTATTTAGGGTCATATGGAATGGCCTGCCCATTAATAAAAGGTTCCCTTGTCAATTATAAAATACAAACACTGTATAAGAAATA